GGGGGGGGGGGTCAAGCATTGGGTTTAAAGCAGTGTCACACTTCAGAGCTGGCACCTCGTCTCGTTACTAACTAAACATCCCTCTTTATCTTCTTGTTGGCCCCAGAAGTGCTCTACTTACCCTCCGTTCCTGAGCAGGGAATCGTCCCGTGGAGAATGACCGCTTCAAAGGATGGTCTGGTTCCTTTCAGGAGAAATTCTCCTCGCACTCATTTTCCCAGCGCCGCGTCCACGTCCACAGTTCTGCCCCGGCTCCCAGACCTGGAGTGTGAATTGGCAGAAAACAATTAAAGGCGATGTCTGTGCTGATATGTGGTCGCAGCGTGAAAAGCCTCCGTTCATGAGGAGCTGCTGGTTCTGGATTATTGTTGGGCTGTTTCTGCCACGTTAGAAAGGTTCCAGTGTTAACTATTAATCGACCGACCCTGAGAAACCGTCCACCAACACGTTCTAATGTTGGAGTCCCAGGAGGTGGCGCTGATAAAATAACCCTCTGTCCCAAAGGTGTAGATTATTAGAAGAAACAGTGAATCTGACAGATTTTCACCAACATCAGTAAAGTCTTTGTGTGTGTTTTTGGTTTTTTTAGACCAGGGTGTTTTCTGAATATTTTTCACAGAATAGGACCAGATCAGGTCCAGGTTTTTGGGATTACAGTGTGTGTGTGTGTGTGTGTGTGTGACAGATTATGGAGGAGACATTATGTAAATGAACGTGCACAAAACTGGAGCAGTGTGTTTCTAGGTTAAGATGCTTTTTTTTTCCACAACTGATTTTTATTAATGAGCTTTTGTTTACATCCTGTTTCCTCTGGGGTCAAAAATACGTTGGTAGAATTTTATTACTTAAATTAATTTGAAAAGAAAATCCTAATTAAACTGAAAATAGAAATACAGTTAAGGTGTTGTTAAAAAAAAAGGCAAAACGGTGTCTAACCTCTTAATATGAATCTAATTAAATTGAATTAAAATGCTGAAAAAATATCCAATTGTTTTAATATTTTTCTTGTAGTTTAACGCGAAAAAAAACCTTTAAAAACCGAAGCATGTTTTGCTTTTAGCAAAAAACCTTTAAAAACCGAAGCATGTTTTTCTTTTAGCAAACTATAAATGACACAAATCAGTTTACTGAACATTTGGGTTTCATTAGATTCACGCGACCTGTGATGTTTAATATATGCACAGTGATGCCATCACGTTCATCAACCAACAGGGCGGCGATCTCCAGTGGTCAAATTGTTCTTGTTGAGAAAGAAAGGCTTTGTTCACACGTGAATGATTTCTTGTGTACACAGGTGTGTGTGTCTGTGTATGTGTGTGTTTACAGTAAAGTGTGAATTAGAGNCCGTATTATTACTGTGCTGGAAACACTTGAGTTAAAGCAGGGATTAAAGCCGTGTCAAACATGCTTCTCTGTCCCACTTCCTCTATCGTCGCCCTCTTCCTCTTCACCCCCCCAGCCTCCCTCCACCCCTCGCCCCCCTCCTTTGGCACCCTGTGTTTAAACTCATCCGGTGCCAAACAGGGATCTGGTAACTTTGGGCAGTGTTGCTGCTGTTTGTTTGTTTGTTTGTTTGTTTGTTTGTGTGGGTTCTGCTCCTGGTCCTCGGCCAAACGTCCCAGAAACAACAGAGTCCATTGATTATAATGGAGGGAGGGGTCGGGGTCTCAGTGTCCTTTTCATTGGATTAAGACTGTTTTTAATGAGAAACCTGAAATGGTATTTAATGAACTGTAATCACTGAGAGTTGACTGTTTTACCAGGAGATAAAAAAGACGATTTTCTTTGGTTGTTTTTGGAAAAAAAAGAAGAAGAAAAAAAAACCCAACTCAGCTTCAGTCAGCCGACTACAGTGATAATAATAAACCCTGGTGTCTGGACTCCACCACCAGATTACATGGGTTAGATGAAGGGATTGTTGAGCAAACATCATCTTCCCACTGCCTACAGGTGGTGCTGTGATGGCGAGGAACAGGAAAGAGAGGATTATGGGAAGTTTTGTTGCTCAAATAGACCTCGGTGTTGGAGACACGTGTACCGTTACGATGTGTTCAGTTTGTGGTAAATCAGGAAACTCTTTACTGCCACCTATGGAGGATCGGTGGGGGGAGTGTTGGGGTTGTCTCTAGGTCTTCTGGTTGGACATGTTATGAGGTTAAAAGTACTGTGAGATTTTACAGCTGGAAACATCCAGGAATATTAATCAATAATTTATTAATGAAACCAGGTTTTGGTCTAAAAACGTTCATGTCCTGGTGGTAATAATTCCATCATCGAAGGCCTCAGATGTTCACAGTCGTTCTCCCTCTGTGTGTCTTTTCCAGATGGCGTCCACTCCGTGTCAGCCCAGTGTCTTCTCCAGGTCACCATCATCACTGATGAGATGTTGTCCAACAGCATCACCCTCCGGCTGGCCAACACCTCCCAGGAGCACTTCCTCTCTCTGCTCCTGGCTCAGTTCCTGGACGGCGTGGCCCGCGTCCTGTCGGCCGCGCCCGAGGACGTCGTCATCTTCAACATCCAGGACGACACGGACGTCAGCGCTCGCATCCTCAACGTCAGCCTGTCCGTGGCCATGCCCGCGTTAGGGGAGGGACGCCACGCGGGTCACGGACACGGACACGGCCACGGCGGTGACCGGGTGGGGAGGGGGTCGGAGATGGGAGGTGGTGAGTTTTTCGGCTCAGAGGAGCTCCAGGAGAGGTTGTACCTGAACCGCAGCCTCCTGGCTCAGATCTCCTCACAGGAAGTCCTGCCCTTTGACGACAACATCTGCCTCCGCGAGCCCTGTGAGAACTACATGAAGTGTGTTTCCGTGCTGAAGTTCGACAGCCTGGCCCCGTTCGTGGCGTCCGACACCATCCTGTTCAGACCCATCCACCCCATCGCTGGACTTCGCTGCCGCTGTCCGACCGGCTTCACGGGCGACTACTGCGAGACGGAGATCGACCTCTGCTACTCCAAGCCCTGCGGAGCCCACGGAGTGTGTCGGACCAGGGAGGGAGGCTACACCTGCGAGTGCTTCGAGGACTTCACAGGTGAGAGAGCGGATTCTAGTCACTTTGAAATGAACTGCTGTCGTCTGCAAAACGTCTCTGGTTTCACTTGGTTAACAGCAGTAATCTCAGTCCATGCTGTTAACTACTGGTTCTGTCAAATGGTTTTTGGATTGATCTACGGCTAAACCTATGTAGCTGTTGTTCAACACTGACTACCGTGTTATAAATCCAACAGTGTTTCAAGGATGAGCATGAAGAAAAGATTGCTAGATAATGGAACAACCTCAAAACTGAATTTAATTTCAACATTGATAAATGGAAAGAATCCGATCATTTTTCAAACTGATAAATGGAAAGAATCCGATCATTTTGCAAACTAAAACAACGTTCAGAATCAGATAATAAATCATTCTTTCTGTGCGGCCCAATACCAATTGACCCACGGACCAGTGGTGGTCCGCGGCCCGGGGGTTGAGGACCTCTGGTTCCGCGGCCCGGGGGTTGAGGACCACTGATCTAAACCGCAGTCCTATTGTTGTGTAGTTAACGTCCTAACACCTACGAACCACCCCCTGAACAAACATCAGGGTCGGGGGCTGATGACTGTACTGATCCTGACACAGTTTCTCTGTGGGTTTTTTTTTTTCTCAGTGGTTTAAAATCAGGTGTCGTGTTGCAGCCGGTCGAGGAGAGCTTTCTCTCAGCTTCTGGGATCAGTTTCACAGCCGCAGCATCACTTTTGTTCTAGTGAACAGACGTGACACCTGTGTGTGTGTGTGTGTGTGTGTGTTTGAATACAGAGCGGGGGAAGTGGGCTCTGATCTCATGTGACACCGGAGACTCACCCTGGATACATGTCACTGCCAGGTGTGAACGCCGCTGTAGTGAACGGAGCTGTGGTCATCACTCAGAGTGAGAGTCCGCTCCACTCTGTTGATTATTTTATTAGTTTTACAGCAGTTAAAAACAACCCACCACTGAGTCACAGCTCTAAGAAACATTTAAACCTGAAGATATATTAAAAATACATTTAATAAAAGTAATGTGTTATTAGTAACATGAGCAAAATAGAGCTTTTTTTTTACAAAAAAAAAATCTGAATTTTTTTGGCAAAAAACATTTTTCATTGGATGTTGAAAAATTATGATAACATTTTTTGCCAAAATATTTTTCAAAAGTTTTCTTTGACTTTTTTTCTCATCAAATGAAAGCATTTATTTTTTAAAAATGTTTTGAATTTTTTTGGTTGAAACATTTTAAGTTTGACCTAAATCACCATCTGCCTTTCAGGCACAGAAAAAGTCTTGAAAATAAAACTGAGGAAGAAGTTGTAGAAAATCCAGATTTGTCTGTTAGTCGTTGTTGCTTTTTATTTTCTGCATTTATATAAAAACAGTGTTCAATAGTTAAATGTAGGCGACGTCCGTCTGTTAGCCGCTAACGTTAGCTTCAGTCGGCATCAGACTCCATGTCTTCCGTCTGACAAACATTGGTCTGTCCTCACAATTGCTGCGACGCCTCAAGAAGGTCAAAGGTCGGGATTTGGGGCGGGCTGTCCACATGTCACTGTCACCATGTTAATTTCCTATCCTTCAGAGAGGTCCCCGGGGGGGGGCTTTAACGGCTACATCCGTCCCCTCCACTGCCCACTGCAGCACCGCGTTGATCCTGGTCTCTCCTCAGACACTGACTGACCTGTAAACCACTGAGTCTGAGTGATGACTTATTGATGGATTGATGGATTGATTGATTAGTGCAGTGAGACATAACGGAAGTCAACACAGACGATTGGACGCTGGTCTCTGCATCGCTTTAACGACATAACAGCTACTTTAATTCATTAATTTAATTAATTAACCAGATACAGAGTACAGTTTATTATTTTTAAGACATAAAAAATTACATTTTAAAATCAAATCAAATATCAAATTCAAACAGAGAAGAGACCTGATTAGAAATGGAAAATAAATGAATGATTTGTGTCTGAAACAGCGCCCCCTGGTTCCAGTCGTCAGTCCTGTCAGATGAGGCGTTTGACGTGAGAGAATTTCACAAACATTTTTTTTTACAAATTCTCTAATGAAGACAGCGGGTAGAAAGTATTTAAGGATGTTTAGAGAAATAGAAATATACATTTTAATAATTATATCTTTATTTCTTTTTTATTTTCTTGGACCATTTTCTCCAGTGTATATAATGTATACACCTGTATATGTAGTACATGTCTGTCCTTATTTATACCTACACTCAGAGTAGAACGTCAATATATAATATCAATATATACATCCTGACTATAGTTTATTTTACAGGGTACAGGACCCTGAAGGCATCTTTACACTATAGTTTAAAAAAAAAAATCAAGGACGTTTTTTATTTATTTATTTTTATCTTCACAGTAAAGTGAGGAACTGATGAATAATAAATGACGGCAGCTCAGATGGAAGTCGTCCTGTGGCTGGTTCACACCCTGTGGTCAAACGTCTCCACGTATAAATATGTAAATATCACCGAGTCCATACGTATTATGTAAAGATGAAGGAGAAGGAGCGTCACTTTTCAAAGATAATGAAGAATTAATTAACTAACGTTGGCAGGAGAAATGTAAATTAGTCAACGGAATTATTCAGTCTCTGAACTCAAACATTATTGATGTCCCCAAACACAGTCGTCCTATGGAAGAGGATGGAAATGAAAATAAAAATAATATAATGACACGAAGGCGTGTGTACACAGTGGGAATGTTAGGGTGAGAGGTTAAAAGGTCACAGTCTGAGTGAGTTTGTCACTGAAGCTGGGGTGTCAGGGGGTGTCCACACTTTTTTGGCTTTGGAGCTACCATTCAAATATTATATTATATAAAAATATAATATATATAAATATATATATATAATATACAGTGAATATGTATATATATAATAATATAATAACTTTATTATATTTTATATATGACCATATACAGTTAGAATTGAATCAGATTTGAATCCAATTGAATCCAACATTATGTTATTATTTTATTTTCTCCAGACCAACAATCCCTTGGTGATCTACTCTCAGATCCTGATCGACTTATTGATCACCATCCTCTGGGCTGTTGATAATTAAAGGCTTCAGTTGGTGAAACTTTAGCACTGATGAACCCTTTCTGTACCGATGTCTCCACGGCCTCAGGATCACTCTTTTCATGCGTTCATTAAAACATTTGACATCACATTTAATATGAATTTTGAATTTGTCTCTGGACAAACTCACTCGTTCTGGTTTGAGCTGAGAAAAAACATCTATAAATACTTAGTGGAGCTTCGTGGCGACAGACGGTGTAATCCTCCCAGTGATGGCATTGACTCCATTATTTCTCACCATTTATTAACACGTCTTTTTAAAAAAAATTTTTTTTTTTAATGTTTTTCCGTGTCGGTTGGTGAAGCCTGTTACAGTGCTGTTGTCGGAGTGTGTGGGCTCGGTTCCCGTGGGTCCAGGTTGGAGTGGCAC